TAGCGGTACTAAGAGGCTCGCTACCTCTATTGAGGTCTCTAGAGCAGTTAGTTCAGCCATCCCCTCCCGGTTTGCCACATCAGGGCACCGAGCTAGCCGCTCTGATAACACCAGAGGTCAGTCTCGAGAGACTGATTCCCTTAGTAGACTATTTGGCAATGTGGAAACTACTGCCAAATTTGTCTCGATGGGTCCTGCACACTGAAGAGAGAAGCTACAGAATCCAGTTTGGTTGATTCCCACTCTGGTGGGTCCCGAGCAGGCTCTGGTAATGGAACAAGAAGTGAACACTCTCTTGAGGAAGGAGGCTATCGAGGTGGTCCCTCCTCACAAAAGGGAGTCCGGGTTCTACAGCTGGTACTTCATTGTTCCGAAGAAGGATGGAGGGTTGCGTCCCATTTTAGATCTGCGTCAGTTGAACCACTCAGTCATGCTACTGAAGTTCAGGATCCTCACTATCAAGCAAGTCGTGTCTCAGATCAGGTCCGAGGACTGGTTTGTCACGATTGATCTAAAAGATGCATACTTCCACATCTCCATCCTTCCCCAGCACAGGAAGTTCCTGAGGTTTGCTTTTGGGGGCAAAGCGTACCGATACCGGGTTCTTCCTTTTGGCCTTGCACTCTCACCCCGCACTTTCACGAAGTGTGTGGATGATGCTCTGGCTCTTCTGTGACTCCAGGGCATCCGCATACTGCATACGACGATTGGTTGATATCAGCTCAATCGGAGCAGGTTACGGTTCGGCATCGAGATGTCATTCTCACGCTCATGAAAGAGCTGGGGTTAAGACTAAATGGCAAGAAAAGTGTGCTTTCTCCATTACAGAGGACCACTTATCTGGGCATGGTGTGGGATTCGACCACAATGCAGGCACGTTTGTCTCCTGCTCGGATCCCTTTTGGCCTGCTGTACATGAGACCCCTACAGTGGTGGCTCAAGACCAAGGGGTTCTCCCAGAGGGGAAGCCCGCTCCGCATGCTCAAGGTCACGTGGCAATGCCTATGTGCCTTAGACATGAACCAAGGTTTCCTCCACTTGTCTCTGGACCCGGTGCTGGGAGCTCCTTGTCGCCGCTTAACGCTAGCGACAGACACGTCCCTCACCGGGGAGCGGTAATGAGTGGCCGCTTGGCCCGAGGTCTGTGGAGTGGTCACCTTCTCACATGGCACATCAACTGCCTGGAGATGCTGGCCGTGTTTCTAGCGTTGAAACACTTCCTCCCGGACCTAAGAGATCGCCATGTGTTGGTGCATACCGACAAAACAGCGGTGGCCGAGGCCGAGGCTTCGTCTGTACGCCTTTCCCACGATCTACACTCCTCGACAGCTCTCCATTTGAGATTCCTGTCAGGAAGGATCTCCTCTCACAGGCAGACGGTACGATATTTCACCCCCGCCCGGAGCTGTGGAAGCTGTGGGTGAGGCCTCTGAGGGGGCACAACTTGTAACTTCCGGTCTCTCAACCGAGGTTGTTGAGACCATCCTCTAATCCAGAGCTCCCTCTACGAAGAAACTGTACACCTTGAAGTGGAAGCTTTTCACTTCTTGGTGCAGAGACCGCCGGCTCAACCCAGTTAACTGCCCAGTTGGTACAGTACTGGAGTTCCTGCAGGCCCGTTTCTCCACAGGGTTGACCCACTCCACCCTGAAGGTCTACGTGGCGGCCATTGCAGCCTACCACGTCCCTCTCGGTTGCCTTTCAGTGGGCAGACACCCCCTGGTTACACATTTCCTCTGTGGTGCGCTGAGGCTGAGGCCTCCGGTATGATCTTGCATCCCCCCGTGGGACCTGGCTGTGGTGCTAGAAGCTTTCTGTAGGCCTCCCTTCGAGCCTATTGAGGAAATCTCCGATTGCCTTCTCAATATAAAGACTACCTTCCTTCTGGCAATATCTTCTCTCAAGAGAGTTGGGGATCTGCAGGCCCTCTCTATGGCCCCTTCTTACCTAGTCTTTGAGCCCAGTCTGGCCAAAGCGATTCTCTACCCTCGAGCGGGTTATGTCCCTTAGGTCACCTCCTCTGCACCACGGCCTGTCGTACTCCAGGCCTTCTGTCCTCCTCACTTCCGGGAGCCCGATCAGCAGAAGCCCTGTGGAGAAGGGCGGACCAACTGTTGGTGTGCTATGGTCCCCCTAATGTCTTCCTGCTAGTAAACAGACCCTCAATCGGGGGATTGTGGATGCCATCTGCATGGCTTACGAGTCCTCTGATCTCCCCTCACCTCTGGGGGTCAAGGCTCATTTGACTAGGAGTGTGGCGGCTTTTGGCAGGTGTTTCTATGCAGGACATCTGCAACGCTGCGGGTTGGTCCACGCGCCTAATGTTCGTCAGGTTCTTTGGCCTAGATATGCGAGCCACTCCTCTCTATTCTGTTCTCTCGCTCTAGCTGTGCTCTTCCACACTAGGCAGGGATTTGTAAGTCTGTCGGCATGGGCATACTCATTCCCATAGCGTTTCGGTGCAGCTCGAGTTCCTGAAGGGGAACGTCTCCTGGTTCCCAGAGGGAACAAGATGCTGAGTCTCAGTGCCATACTTCCGGCATCCTTGCGAGCGCCTGCTTCATTCCTCGAAGCTGACGCCGGTTCCACCGCACATGCTTGTATAGCTTCCTGGTCTTTACGTCACCCGCCCGTGACATCTCACCCATCCATTGGACTGATTACACATGTGATTCAGAGCGTGGTCATGCTGAAGGCATTCCCATAGTGTTTCGACGCAGCGTCTCGTTCCCTCAGGGAACCATGGTTACATGCGTAACCTGGAGACGTTTTCCTCCATAAGAACAGTAACTCAGCAATGTAGTCAGGACACATTACCACAGCATGAAGCAAATCCAGCTTTACGAAGTCCTCAATCTGTGCTAGATCTAAAGAAACGTAAACTTCACAAGGGGCTTCACTATTTTAAAGGGCTTTTATAGTAGAACAATGGCATTTCCTTGCACTTTTGAGACACTTTTCAAAAATATTTACAATGAAATGGCAAGTAAATTAATAATGAATGAATAATGAATGAACACTGTAAAAATGTTTTCCAAAAGTTGCAAACAAAACAGATTACTGGAGTACATTTCACAAGAAAATACTATTGTAGACTTTTTCCTTCAAATTTTCATGTTTATTTCAACATGTTACTTGCCATTTCTTTGTAATTATTTGTAAAATTCACTAGAAATGTCTCTCAAAATAATTTTTTTCAGTGTATTTCTTGTAAAACATTGTTTTATTTAAAACTTTTAATTTTTCTTATTTTTACTGTACATATACTATATTTCTATTGCTAGTCAGTGGCAGGTGGAATTGGGGGAGAGAAAATATTTATTGAAAGATAAGAACAATCAATATTTTAGTTCTACTTTCCTATAAAAAAAGATACTGTACATTTTAAATGCTTATATCTACTAAAAGTACATTTTGTAATTTTTTAAGGTGTACATTAGGTGTTCTATCTGCCATATGCCTTGTGCTTTATATATATATTTTTTTTACATTTTACCTTATTTGTATATTTGTATAGTTGTATTTTGTATTTAATCTGTACCTATCTGTATTTATGTTATCTGTATGCACCAAGGGTCTGAGAGTAACGCAATTTCAATTCTCTGTGTGTATGTGCTGTACATGTGGAAGAATTGACAATAAAGCAGACTTGACTTGACTTGATTAGCTGTTTTTAAAGCTAAAAGACATTAACTAAAGATACAAAATTCCAATTTGGATTTCTTGGGATACTCAGAGAGAGGGTGGAAAATAGTCATGAAAAACTAAATTACAACCGTTTTTGGTGAGAAAAACATTAACAAATATAAGTGGACTTTAAACAGGATAAAAAGCATAGGGTGTGGCCGTTTTAGCGCTACTTCTCAAATTAAACACTGATTCATGGCCTTAGGATTATTTAAAACATTAAGAGATTTTAGGTATTCTAGGTTCTAAGTCCATTACCTCACAGAGTAAATCAAGAGTAAATCAAACCAGAAAGAGAAAATAAAGTAGTGAAAATTGCTTTAGAAAATATGAGGCTAATGAATATGAAGATGGATTTGAAGAGATTCTTACCTTTAGCAGATATTTAGGAGACTGAGAGGAGAGAGGATAGTTCAGAGAGTCAGATAATAGATAAGAAGTACAGAAGAGTGAAGAACAGAGGTATTTTACAATGAAAACCACACACAGACAAGTTCAGAGGTTTTGGAGTAAATGCATTAGCAAAGAAATAAATAAAATAAAATCACATCATAAGCTTCATCAGTTGTAATATATGCATTCCATCATGTGGCTGTTGAAGTAACTGATAGCAGCCCATACAGTAACACCTGACTCTTTAACACAGAGAAAATGATATAAAAGGCTAATATCTAAGGTTAATGACTAAGCTTTGAGTTTACACCAAACCTGCACCTTTACTGAACAGATAAAACTGTCAAAAAATCAGAAAAGGAACTGAAATATGTCATAATTCATGTTCATTGTCATCTGAAATGAACGGGATATTTTTGTGATGACTGTCTGAATGTAAAGAAGACTTTGTAACAGTCAGTGAGAAGCACAAACCTTATTTCTCCCGCTGTTGAGCTGTGGAGGTAGAGATCTGGATGCTGCTGTCACTCTTGCCCTGGATGTTGCCAGGTTACCTGCTCAGCGAAAGAAGAAACACAGATCAGTGACACATCAATCTTCCCTCTCTGAAACACAAATGAATAAAACAATATGGTAGTGTAGAGCTCTGAGCTTGCAACCCAAAGAATGCATGTTTGAACCCTGGAGGAAATCAGCCAAAAGACTAGGCTAGACTAGAATTACAAAGACATTTGATCAAGACCAGATTTTTACCGCCAGATTGCTCTACTCTTATGAATATTAATAATAGTAACTGTAAAGTACTAAGTAAATAGTGTCTGCAAAAATACCACAGCTGTAGCCAGTTATCAAACTGTTAATGCTTTCATAATAATATTCATCATTTTGACGTTCTTTCTTTCTTTCTTTCAATTTTGTTTTTATTTATTTATTTGATGGCTGTGGCGAATAATACCGAAATAGCAAATTTTTACAGTAACAGCAACTTTTATCAATGCTTTTCTTATAATTGCAGTGTATATTATTGTGTAAAATAAATTCACATATTTGTATTGAATGTGCGCTTGTAGCATACTTCAAAAATTTAAATAATATTTTAAAAAAATGTACTTGCAGATAATATAATATTGATGAAATAAAAGGCCACCTAAGCGGAAGGAGTTAGGGTTTCGCCTAACACGGTATACGTAGCAAAGTTTTTTTTTTTTTTAATAAAGAATAGAATAGTAGAAAGAATAGAAATAGAATAGAGAGTGCAGATGTTAGAGGCTCAAGTTTATTTAATTAAAAAAACAAGCAGATAAAATTAGAATTAGCATTAGAATAAAGAGTGCTAGAGTTAAGAGGGTCAAATGAAGATGAAATAGGTGTGTTTTCAGCCGTTTCTTGAAAATGATTAAACTCAGCTTCATTCCACCAGGAGGGAACAGTTAATGAAAAAGTCCATGAAAGTTTTATCACAGGTTGAACTTGAATGCAAAATATTTCAATACAGGCATTTCAGTCTAATGTAATTTATGCAATATTTCAAACCTTTAACCCACTTGGGAAAATAAACCCATGGAAACAGTTTAAAAGTAGCCCAATTCTGTAAAAAAAAAATGCACACTTGGCAACCGAACGAGTCAGCTTGGACTGATCACAGGTTGAGAATAAGGAGAGATGACTGACAAGACCATGCTGGAGTATTTGCTGCTCAACAGATCCTGAGCTCACTGACAAATATCTGATCTTGTAAGATGTGCTCCTTTTACACTAGTGCTGTGCATCTCATGACTCAAGCCGATACGATACACATCTCGATGCATAGCCAACTATACGATACATTAAAGATACATATGAAGCAGCTACCGCTGCGATGCGATATGATTTACCCATTATGATGCAGTGTGATCAGATTTAGATTCGATTTGATTCAACACAATGCGATTCGATGCGATGGAGAAAATATGATCACTTTTAATGCCTCAAGACCTGTTCATAAAACAAGTTTTTTTCAAATAAGCCAGGCTTATTTCAGTATGTCTGACTCATTGTCAAATGATTTGGTTCCATAAAGCAAATTTAAAATGAGCCTAGATCAAGCTCAGTCACTGTGGCAACTCAGTCATATGCTGGGAAACTAACCTGGTCTAAAGCAGGTTAACTGTCAGACTAAGCTGAGTTCCTCTAACACTGACCAATAGGAACCCAATGATATTACTCACATACTATTATTTGACCTTTTTTTTTTTTTTTTTTTTTTTTTTAATTTTTCTGCCCTTCGACCTTAATAAAGAAAATGACTATTATTTAACTGCTATAAGAAACACACATTAACTTATTTGAGCTTAGTAATTAATACTGTACTAGCTTGCACTTGATTTACCTATTACAATAGTCCCTTTACACATTACATTGCGGGAGCAGGCAGCAATGGTCAGAAATTCAGGAGTGGGACAAAAAAAACAGCCGAATCCCGGATATTTTGGGCAATTAAGAAATCCCGGCCAGACACATCTTTTTAGGTCCAAAAAAGAGGACATGTCCGGGGAAAAGAGGACGTATGGTCACCCTAGGCAAAAACCATTTAAAAGACACTCTCAAGGGAACCCGTGTTGGCCTTATGCACTGTCTAATATCCAGTGCTGAGAGCTTTCAGGATCAGAGTGAGCCATCACTGTCTCTTATCTCTCTTTCTCTCTGTCGTTAATACACTCTCTCTCTTTCTGCTTCCTCTTTTCTCTCTCTTCCTTAAAGACACACACACACACACACATCTTCGGGATAAGAAACACCACTGTTGCATATGCAGCAACGTCTGAGCTTTTCAAAAGTTTCTGCACAAGATGTCCAAATGTTTTCCCTGGCTGGGTCTTCAGAGACTAAACTCTGATTAATGGTACTGAAGGAGCCTTTGAAGCCGGATTGGTGACATCAAAGTGCTAATCCATGGGTGGCAGGAGTTTTATAATGAGTGGGAAGCATTTTCGCACATTTCAAAGGCTCTGGCGCATGAATAAACAATGGCAGCACAGATGTGCCACACACCTTTAGAAAAATACCCACCGCAGAAACACCAAGCTGAGCGCAACTGTAGCAGTGTGCGTGTGTGTGTGTGTAAGTCTGAAGGAATCTAGGGAAATGAAACATCTGTTGTTCTTGTAGTCTGCGCCCCAGTAATACACCAGATGACAGATTAGAATGGGTCACAGACTCAAACAAACAAACAATAAGTCAAGAAAACAATTATCGTTTTTCTTCCCATTGCCACGCTGGTTTCATAATGACTGTCTCGTGTGAACGAACATGCATGGTTCCTAGCATTCAGAGCAGATCACGTTTAATTGCTCTATTTGTCAGGGATTAATTGAATTGTTTCAGATCTAACTATAGCTCAGGAATCCCACGCTCCTGCCAATGGGATTACACGTGTAGGCTGCTGGTAAATGTTGTCTCTGCTATAGTCAAAAGCCTGACGCAGCACTGGTAGTTGGGGCCATGTGTAGCTCTTTTCCACTGAGCTGGTGCTCAATCTCATCCTGTGCATTTCCAAAATGGAAAACCATCTTCCACTGCTCTTAAACCAGTGTCCAAAAATATGTCTACACTGGAATAGACTCATGCAATTGTTCATTTTTTTTAATGCTGCACAGCTTTTCACAGCTAGATTATTTTTCTTGTTTATTTATTATTGTTATTTTTTTTTTTTTACGACACAATAAGTTGTTATTAATTGGTCAATTTGATTAACTATATATTTGTTTAAAATAATAGACCATGATATCAAAAGCAGCTTGTGATGGCATAAAGACGCCAAAGTTAAAATATGTTCACTAATCTAGAAGTAAAAGTTGCGATACAGTATGTATTTTTGCTTACATTAAACCTATCCAGTAAATTGTACATTTGTTAGATTGCCGTTTCTGGTAAATGTTCTACATCTGCTGTTAGCAACAAGTAATGGCTTAAGGCTGATGATACACGGGGCAACTCTTTGAGCAATGTTGCTGGGCAATGTAGCCGTCAACGGGCAACCAGGTGAGACAAAGGGCCCACCACCGATCTAAAGTATCCAGAAATAAATTTGTTGGCCATTCTCAATGGGAAAGTGCCAAAGCAATATCGTTTGGCAACATTGCCCAGTGTGTGGTAACACTTTACTTGAAGGGGTGTGCATAAGACTGACATGACACCTACATAATCATGACATGACACATGTCATGAATATGAAGGAGGTTTTATGCATGTTTATGACAACTGTCATTAAGTGTCATTCGCTCAGTTATGTCATTTTTTATGCAAATATGACAATATTTGACCTAACCCTACCCTAACCCTACCCCTAACCATAGCCCATAACAAAGACATCTCAAACAATGTCATCTTTGCATTAAAAATTACATAACTGAGTGAATGACACTTAATGACAGTTGTCATAAACATGCATAAAAAACCTTCATATTCATGATATGTGTCATGTCATGATTATGTAGGTGTCATGTCATGATTATGAAGGTGTCATGTCAGTCTTATGCACACCCCTTCAAGTAAAGTGTAACCGTATGTTCTCCAAAGCTGCTTTTATTTGATTGATAAGGCAGTAAAAAACAACGTCATTTTCTCCTGTGGTGCAAAGCTGAATTTTCAGCAGCCATTACTTCAGTCTTCAGTCTCACATGATCCTTCAGAAATCATTCTAATATGCTG